GACTCAAGTCAAGACTGTCCCAAGCGATCTTTTGGCCGCTGGGATCGTAGAGGTGGGGGTTGGGGTCGTGGCAAGACATTGGCCAACTACTTTCAGGGTGTTCCCACGTAAATTGATCATTGAACGTCCTATAATTATTATCGAAAGCATCAGCATGCCAAGGAACTGGCTCTTGTCCCAGCGCCTCGGACCGTGCCTGCACAGCGTAAGGGTGCATACATTGCCACGCTCGGTGGCGAACACTGTCGGCCTGGCCGCATAAAGGACAGCAGCCATCAGAACGATACCCAAGGGCTCTGGCCCGCGACCGAACCCAGATGCCGTTGCAAAAACCGGCGAGCGCCATAGATTTTTCACGAACAGACATTCAACCCCGCGGCCCGAAGAGTTTCTGCAGCGGCTCAACGCAAACACGGTCCCCGTGGAAACCAGGAGTCAAACAAGCGAGATTGCGCGCATGGCTTCTCTGAATGGCCTTGTCCAGAAGGCGGGAGAGGAGGGAGGGGGAGGTATAGTTCTTGTGATGTTCTCTCCCATAATCGTGAACGAAAGACAAAGCCGAGGTGGTAACCCAACCGATCCTGTGAAGGCTCAGATGCATCCTCTGACAAGGGGCCCTCTGGAATGACGCCACGTGGCCGTGTCATTGAACGGAACGGCCTTCCACATATTACAGAGGTCCTTCATACTGTAGTAGGACGTGTCAGGGCTGGCTAAAGCGATCCAGATCACCGTCGCCCAATGCACAATGGGGGCAACAGCAGATCTCCACATGAGGTCGCCGCAAAAAAGCGAGCTCAGCGTGCAGGGAGATTCAATTGTGCCGAGGGGGATTGAAAGAAAGCAAAACACGTCTGGCATGATGGAGCTCAGAAGCGCTCATCCCCAGGACAGCGGACCCACAAACCGCGGAAGGGAGAACTCCAGCCATATATGCTTTACCAATGCGTCCTGTCTGCCTTGGGAGCCCCTGCTTGACACGCTGAAGCACGCGATGGCGGCGCTTCATGTCGTTGAAGCGCTTCTTGCGTTTCCGCGTGGCCCGCGCGCTCGCGCGGCGTTGCCCGGGCGCCAGATCCGCCCCCAGCGACGCGAAGCTGTTCGACATCTGCACCGCCGTCTTCCCCAAGAGATTCGCGATCTCCTTGGCCAAAGCAGAGCTGCTGGCAAAGGTGCAAAACTTATCGGGATGGACGGCCACCTTGAGCTCGCCACGAAAGAGGATGCACAACGAAGCGGCTGCACGGGAGATGCTGGACAGCACCTGCTGCTCGCTGCCGTGGGGCGCGGCGCTATCGTCGTCCACGTGGGAGGAGAGCGACGCGTCGGCGTGCTCCGCCTTGAACCTATCGAACGCTCCTATCCTATAGACCCGAACGATGACGCCATCAAAGATGTTTCCCGCCGGCAAACCAGAACTGGCGCAAACGGGAAGGGCCCCGTACTGGACCCCCAAACGATGGAGCCCAGGCCTTCGCCAGTAGTTGAAAACGGCGTTGACAATGACGGGGTCAGTGCCGTGCTCGAGGGCACGCTGTCGGACGAATTCGAAATCGAACGGCTCATATTATTTGGTGCGTCCCAAATAATGCCCCGTGACTTGGTTCTCGTGGTGATCAACCTCCGACTGAACAGCTTGGTGCCACGCAGCGTCCTCAGCGCTGCGGCCAGGGCCGAATGCCAAGCACTTCGAGGAAACTTATCATTGAACTCGAGCATGGTCGGGCGCCTCATGCGTTCCCGGACACGAACAGTCCCCGCGCACAACAGGATGGGCCGTGACCCCCCTTTAGATTGTTCGAGGAAGGGGAAGAGAAACAACAAAAAACTGTTTCGGGAACGACCCCAGGCTCTCCGAAGCCTGGATCATCGCCGCAAAAGTTTCAAGGGCCGCGTCCGACACCGGGCTCAATCGACGAGGATGGATTCCGCCAAGAGACTGGGACGTGAGGCGCGAGAAGGAGCGCGAGGCACTGCGGATTTGCTGAGCAGACGGGCGCAGCAAGTGGTGCCAATCGGGAACGCAAGCCTCAGGGGGCCCGTGCGAGGCGCGCCAAAAACGAGCGAGCTCATCACCAGTGCCCCTCAACAGCGCCTGGGGATCACTAGTTAAAATGACAGGGTAAGTCTGCAGACAGTGGGATTCCACTTCTGCTCCAGCTTATTTGATCGATGCATCGCCCTCGCTCCTCCTTCCAAAAGCCTTTTCCTGCCACTCATCCCAGCTATCCCGCTGGGCCTGGCGGATGTCCTTCTCGGCCTCTTGGAGGTCGCCCCCCAGGCCACGAGCAACTCCTGGCATTCCTGTCGCCAAGATGAACTATCGCCAGTCGGGCATCGGCGCGGCAAGGAACGGGCCTGCGCCACGGCGGCACCGAGGCGATACGAATGCCCTCTCCAGGGCACGGCGTAGAAAGAAGCTGGGACATCTGCAATTGCATATCTTGTGCAAGTCGGTCGACAGCCGCATGGTCGACTAAATCCTGATTGCACAGGTGGTGAAGCCTTCTGGAGGCCCCTATCGTTTCGGCAACATGCTGGGCCAACCAAATCCATCCTCGCTGTCCCTTCCGGGCATCAAACGATCGCGGTTTCGCAAAAATCGGGGCCCATCGAGGTTTCAAAAGCGCCCCCTTGAAACCCTTGTGCTTGATTTCGGCCCCCGTGGAGGCCTCGAGCTCGCGCTCGAAGGTGTCGGCGAAGTTTTGATGCGCAACAGTCAGTAGCTCCCAGGCCTCGCCGACTGGCGCTGTGAGGGCCGAGGCAGCCGACGACTCAGCAATAGCACGAGGTGCGCGCCAGTCCTGCGGTTGGGGTGGAGGTCCTATAGGACTAGTAGATAACTTCTGATGGGGTCGATAAGTGAGCTGCTTACAGGACACGGCATTCACTCGCATAATGATCGTGACAAGTCTGCGTGGACAGTGGGCCCGCGCAGTGCCACCCTGAATGTTTCTACAGGCTCGAGCAAAACTGGTGCTGACCAAGAAGTAATGAATCGCGGTTAATCTAAAAGGCGACAGACACGTCTTCTCAGGGGGAGCCATCCAAGAGCCCTCAGCGCGTCGCACAACCCCCGAGGCCTCGACAAGATGAGGCCCCAGATTCCAACCGCAGCCAGCAACAAATAAGTTGATTCCAACAAGTCGTCCCCCCAGAAGCCGAAGGAGATGAACGTTAAGAGGGCAGGGACCAGTTCCGCTCTTGGGGTATCCACATATAACGTGAAGAGGGGGCCAGGCATGGATATCCACGATGGCGTGGACCAGGCGACCAGGAGCCAATACCCCCTGCCATCCGCTGGCCATCGGAGGCCAAGGTGCGCGCGAACAAAGATGGCACCGCCAGCCCTGGGACGCCCCGAGACGCCCAAAAGAGAGGGGGAGAGAAGCATCTTCCATCCCAGCCCCCCCAGCCGAACGACGCCGTTCACCCTCGCGCTCCTAGGGGCAGCAGGTCTCCTGCGCCAGGATAGTGCTCGCGCCGGAAAGCCGCAGCCGCTCGTGCAGGGTGTTCCAACTGCTACCATTATATGTATCGGTAGTGACCGCTTCCCCCATTCCAAGATGGCGCTCTGAGGATCGAGCGGGCGAGCAAGGAGGGGGAGGCGGAGGTGGAGCGGGAACTCCTAATCCAGAAAGCTTCAAACCACAGCACAAAGGCGGGTAGCGGCTCATGCTCACGTTACCCCTGTCGGGGTTTGACACGGCGAATTCCAGCACCAAATTTATTCATGAACGTCTTCTTATCAAGGGATTATGGCGGTTTCGAAAAGTTCGGTCAAGCATATCAATAGCACCGCTGCCAGCAGGCTTAGCCTCGCCCTCGGCTGCTGCACGCGGGAATCCGCTGCCACTGCCGACGAAAAGGTTGGGCACCTGCTGGGGCTCGGGCATGGCCTTGACCTTGAGGCTCTCGCTGAGCACCGCCGTGAAGTCTTTGAACGACGGAGACTCCATGAACTGACGAATCGTTGCGCCATGAGGATGGTTACCGAGGAAGTCCGCATCGATATCGAACGAAACCGTGGGCTGGGCGGGCACCGTGTCCACAAGCTCCTTCTTGAGGGTGACGATCTCCTCATCGATGGCCACGATCTAGGCTCGCATGGCATCGACCTTCTCCTGCGCGGCTCGCATGAACTCAGTCTGTTCGTCGATGGAGTCCTCGAGCTGTTTCTTGTTAGCAGTAGCACGACCCAACCAATGACCCACGTTGGTGTGCTGGGTGAGCTGGGGCTTGGTGTCGGCCAAAGCCTTTTCTGGCCAAGGCCAAATGCTCCAGGAGCGAATCATGGGCAGCCTTGCCCGTGTCGTTGGGCAACTTCTTGCACTCGGCGGCGGCTGCCTCCAGCTGCTTGATCCTGTCACGCAAGGTGTTCTGCTCCTTATCCTTGTCGTCATCGGCAGACGCGGAAATGCTGTGGATGGCGGCGGGTCGTGACTGCGACGCCTGCGCCTGAGCACCTGCTTTGGAACTAAGAATAGTAGACACCAACTTGTCATACTTCTTCTGCACATCATCGGTCTTCTGTTGGAGAGGGTCCCGTCCTGCGACCCGGCCACGACGAGGTAGAAGCTGAGGAGGGCCACGCACACCTGCAGTCGGGGCCGCAGAGCCGCATCGGCACACCGCCCTGGATGCCCAGTTGGTGTTCCGTCCGCATGTGGAGCATGCCCACGCAGGGAAGCGCGGTCCAGGGGGAACTTCGCCAGCACCGTCGCCTCCATGGGCCATCGGGGGCCCTATGAGCTCGTGAAAGGGGGGGGGAGAGAAAGCCCCCGAGCACATGCCAAAAAGGCTCGCGACAGCGACTGCCGCTCTGAATCCTGCTGTCGCAAGCCCAGGAAAGACCCGGGCCAGGGCGGCTGGAGGAGCAGGAGGAGGGAAGAGGAAGGAGGGGGGAGGAGGGAGGAGGAAAAAGAGGAGGGAGCAGGGGAGCGGGGCATCAAAAGCACGACGCCGCCGCCGCCGACGACGGAAGCCGACGACGTCTCCACCGCCGAGAGCGCCCGTTGCGTCCGGGCCGTCTCGTTCTCCACCAGGGTGCCCAGCGGCGACCTTATGGAGTAGCTGCCGCCCGACAGCGCGGACAGCCCCGACATCCCCGACATCACGCGGGCCCTCTCGGCGGGGCGGCCGGGGAGCGAAGCTGGCGGGGACGCCGTCGAGGGTCCGCGGCGCCAGGGTAGGCGTCGAGAGCGTGTCGTCGCCGTCGTCGCCGGCGGACCGAGGTCGGGGGGTCGCACTTCTCGGGATCGACGTTCCAGGTCTTCGGTAGCTTTCGCAGGCTCCTAAACAGGTGTTTCAGCCTTTGGGCAGGGACCGACCGTCCCAGCATTCCTATAGGTCTACCACGACATGTTCTCAGAACCCCAAAAATGTTCTAAGAACATAAACAATGTTCTTATAACAGAAGCCCCATGTATTAAAACAAGACAGTCCCAGCCAGACACGTTCTGAGAACATTTCGTGCAAACCACAAAAGGTTCTTAGAACATTGTTTGGTAGGCCTATAGGCACGCCAGGACGCTTCGCCACTGCTTGAAGCCTCCGCGTGTGTTCCAGCAGCTGCGCCTCGCCACGGACGCTCCTGGGGCGCCCGGATCATCAAGAGCGGCCGCAAAAAAACGAACTGCGACCCGAGCACCGGTCGGTGAGGATCACTCCGGAACAACGTCAGGGGGGGAATAGGCCAAGGGTGGGGATTAGGCCAGGGCATCCCCGAGGGGAACATATTCACAATTCTAAAGCGAATCTGGAAGGAGGAGGGATGGAGGATTTTTGGATACCACCGCGGTCGGAAAGTCGCAGGAGGGATGGAGAGAGGGAGGGTTGAGGGAGAGGCCAGGGGGGGGGGCCGAGGGCAGGGAGGAGGAGGAGGAGGAGGAGGACAAGGAGGACGAGGAGGAGGCTGTGTTGGGCTTTCAGAAGTGTCTGGGAATTGTTGGGGGGTTTGGGGGGTTGTCGGACAGTTGTCTGAAGTGTTTGGAGGTTACGAAGAAGGATGAACAGGAAGAAGACGAACAGGAGGAGGAGGAGGGAAAGGAAGAGGGAGGGACGGGACAGGGAAGAAAGGGAGGCGGAGGAGGAGGAGGAGGAGGAGGAAATGGGCGGAGGGAGAAGGGAGAGAGGAGGGAGTGTTGGGGGTGAGGGAGGGAGGGAGGGAGGGAGAGGAGGTGGCATTCGTCGGTACGCGGAGGTGTCCATATGTTTGAGCATATTCCGGATAAAAGGCTTGGAGGTTATTGGGGGAGGACATGCGTCGTGCACCTTATGCTCGCGGGGCCGCCTACAGAGCAGCGGATTCGCCGGCCAGCAACCGCCCCTTGGGCTCAGCCCGAGGCGTTGCTGATTCCGACTCGGCATCCACCGACCCAAAATCCAAGTGAGAGAGAGAGAGAGAAAGAGAGAGAGAGAGAGAACAGAAAAAGCAGAAGGGAGGGAGATCACTGTCTGCATCACGAAGCAAACCTAGACCACACGTTCACTGTCATAAGGGTACAGCTGTCTCCGCAGACAAAAATACAGAGTTAAATAGTTTGAAGGCCCCGAGGAGGATGGAGTGCCCGAGGGGGTGATATCCAGCACAGAGTCCTCCAGCGGCAGGTGGCCACACCAAAGCTCCCAAACCCGGAGGAGGGGTGGAAGCTGGTGATGCTGGTCAAATCTCAGTTAGATCTTCATGCCAAGCTCTCCAGGGCCCTGGAGAGAAACAGAGAGAGAGAGAGAAAACAAAAAAAGAGGGGGAGAGATGGATAGAGAGAGAGAGAGAGACAGAGAGAGAAACAGGGGGGGATGGAGGTAAGGACGGAGGAAGGAAGGAGGCACCCTGATGCTCAGTGGAGAAGGGGAGGAGAGAGACGAGGACGGAGAAGGGATGGGCAGCATCATCTCCCCCGCCCTCCCCTCCTGAAGCCTTGGCGCCCGCGGGCCTTGTCATCCCGCAGGCTCAGAGCCCGTCTCCCCCTCCTCCTATTCTTATTCCTCCTCCTCCTCCTCTACTTCCTTCTTCTCCTCCTCCATTCCATCACCATCCTCATCCTCATCCTCACCCTCACAATCATCATCAGCATCATCATCATATCAGCATCATCATCATCATCAGCATCAGCATCAGCATCATCATCATCAGCATTATCAGCAGTATGATCATCATCATCATCACCACCAGCATCATCATCATCGAGATCATCATCACGATCATCGTCATCATCATCACCATCATCGACATCGCCATCGTAATCGTCGTCGGCAGCATCACCAGGTTCATTTCTATCATCATCATCGTCATCATTATCGTCAACACCATCACCACCAGCATCAGCATCATCATCATCATCACCATCAGCATCATCTTCATCATCATCATCGTAGTCATCATGGTCATCATAGTAATCAACATCATCATCACACTCATCATCATCGTAAGCGTTATCACCATCACCGTCAACATCATCACGACCACCACCATAACCCCCTGCTCCTCATGACCCTAGT